CCGGTTGCTGTAACTGGATGGGACTTGCACCAAAGCTGTTCCTTTTCCCTTTGGGGACAACTTGGTTCATCTGAATTTCCATCATCCAATTTGCTTAAACAGAATGTCTGGGTTCCAGTAACCGGAAGCAGCAGGAGACTGTAGGAAAATGAATGCACACAGCCTTTTTAAATTTTTGAAATTTGGGGGCTGGGGTTGTGGCTCAGCGGTAGTGCACTTACCTGGCATGTGTGGGGCACTGGGTTCAATTCTCAGCACCACATAAAATAAATAAAATAAAAGTCTATCAAAAACTCTCACTGTGTGTGTGTGTGTGTGTGTGTGTAGGAGTATATGAGTATATATACAATTTTTGAAATTTGCCGTGTGCTTAGGACAAACACAATGAAGATCTCAGTGTTTTGCTACTCCATGATACTCAGGCATGATGGAGAGTTTTAAGGGATCAGACATTTCAATGAGGATCTGGAGTGGGTTTTGTTTGGAATTTGGAGGCAGGTCTGTGAATTCCTGATAGACTCTCGCCACCTTCCCTGCCTGGAAACATGAGATTGAACCTACGTTCTTTCCAGAGAACACTCAGCCTTCCATGATTAATTATAACCACCTCCATGAATTACGTACACCCAGCTCTTGGGAGACATTCCCATCATTTTTATAAAAACAAGAGAAAGCTCACAACAAAAAGACTAGATCTGTCCCACTGCCATCTGCTCAGCCAGCAACAGAACTTCCTCATTCAACAACTCCTTTGAGGTCTGAGGCCCTTCAACCACATTGAAGGCTAAGACTATGATTTTAAGCAAAAATTACGTATTCTATTGTAAACTATAGCCAAAGCCAGTTTAAGTATTGATTTATACACAATTATTGCCATAACATTGTTTTTTCAGAACTAGGGTTTTGAGTCCAAGCCTCCTGGATGCTGGCAATTGCCCTCTCACCAGCTACACCCAACCCTTTCAATTTTATTTGAGTCAGGGTCTAGCTAAGTTGCCAGGCTGGCCTTGAACTTGAGGTTCCCCTGCCTCAGCCTCCCAAGGAGCTGGGATGCAGGTGTGCCTGGCCCTAACATATTTTAAATGTGATTTAAATGAACCCGTGTTTTCCCGATGATGGGACCTGCTCGTAGTTTGAAGTAAAGGTTACATGAAGGCTGCTTCCTGAACCTGCGTTTCTCCCTGGGGGCAGCTCCTGTCCCCACCAGCTCTTGTGTCCCTCTTCCTGGTCCCTGTGCTCCGTTCTCCTGCTCCTCACCTTCCAGACCCACAACAACGTGTGTCCCTGGCTGGGCTCAGGGATGGAGGGGGAAGCTGCCACCAGCCTGGGGCCCTGGGGCCTCTGCCCACCTCCCATCCCCTGCGTCACCAGGAGCTGCATGAAGAGCACAGTGGCCGATTCAGCCACTCTGTCCTCACCTGTGCAGGAGAAGTTCAGGCATCGGCCCCCGGGAATCGGGAGCCCACCTAAGAATCAGTGAGTGCAGCAGAAGAGGCCTGAGCTCCGCACCGCGGCCGTCATGTGCTGCTCAGTGAGGACGCAGGGACGTGGAGTCGGGTGAGAATCGAGGCCTGGAGGATTTGGTTCGTGGGAAGACACAGCCTGGCCTGCTACCTCTGCTGGGGGTGCCCGTGGTGGGGAGGAAAGGGCTCGCTGGGGAGTCTCTAGAGAAAGAGCCCAGGAAAACCGCCAAGGCGGAGGCTGAGGTCACAGCCAGGGAGAGGCCCCAGAGGTCAGGGGGCAGTGGGGCTCTGAGGCAGCCGGTCGCCAGTCCAACCTGTTTCCTGACCTGGGTAGGTTTCTCGCCCTTCTCAAGCCTCACATTCTACTCCAGGAACGAACTTCAGACACCCCTGTCCTGCTGTAGCTTGAGGATTATCCTCAGGTCTGTCTCAGGGGACAAGCAGTGGAGACTGGGGGACAGACACACTCAGGGCCATGCAAAAGGTCCCAGAAAGAATGGACCCGTGCTTTCACTACCAGCACTGGCCTGTTCCGGTCCACCCAGCTACCTAGCCCACAGTCACACGCACAAATAATAATGATTCTGTCGTGTGCAGAGGTGGCTCATATGAAATCAGAAAGGGAGAGAGGAAATGGGACCTGCCCCCAACAAAAGCCATGCTCCTCTGTGGATTCGCTTTATGCGGCACCAGCACAGCCCCTGGGTTGTGCCTCAGTCCCACTCACCCCACAAACAGCCACCTCCAAGCTGAGGATTCTGTTCAGACAGCAGAGAGCTGAGAGGCAGAGTGAGGGGCGGGGACACCAAAGTCCAGCAGCTTCCCAAAAGAGAGCCGGAGGGCCAGCTTGGGGCTCTCAGGACACAGACCTACTTAGACCCGGCTCTGCCTGCCCACACTCCAGCCTCTTCCCTGTGGAGCTGATCAGCCCCCCCCCACCCGGTGCCACCTCCAGGCACCTGAGCATCGTGGAGCAGATGCTGCTGCCAAGCTCCCCCAGCCCAGCCCCAGCCTAGGACGCGCTGACCTGGCCCCAGGTGCGGAGCTCACATGACAAAGGTCAACACGGTGGCCACCCGTCCTGCTGGTCTCAAATGAAAGATGAGAAAATGAGCCATTCCCTGCCCACAGTCACTGGTCAGTCACTTTATCACTCTGGGTCTCTTACAGTGACGTCAGGCAGGGGAGTCTGAGAGGTGAGTAGGTAGAAGCTGTGCTGCTTTCTTCCACCTACTACGCCACCTGACTGCAGGACCCTGGTCCCCTCGTCCTGGGGCGGACACTCCTCACTGCTTTTCCTGGGCTGGAAGAGAAACGGCTTCTCCTGCAGGGATTCCTTCTAAATTGTTGGCTCAGTCACTTTGGGGACCCTCCCAAAGTGTCAGCTTCAGAAGCAGAAGGTCTTCCAATGTCCCTTCTATCTAAATCCGTGACCAGGGAGTCTGGCAGAGTAAGCCAAGCCCCACAGTGGACAGCGTCATGACAGAGCCTACCGCTGGCCCTTGACAAGGACGCTCATCCAGGGAGGAACAAGCAAAGAGCCCACGTCAGCATCTGTGATGGGCCCAGAGCCTGGCATCTGCGCTTCATGGCTTCCACCCCCAGAATCAGAGAAGGCAAGTGAGTGCCACAGAGACACACAGCTTGTCATTCCGATGGCGGGGACTTGATATCCCATCTGTGCAATTCCAGCTCTGCTGGCTCCAACAGGGCTTCCTGGATCCAGATTCCTTCCCTGTGGCAAACACACGGCTGTGACACCTTCTCGCAAATCAACTAAAATGACATGTGAAGATCAGAGCCCAGGATTCCACTGTGCAGACCTCCGTGTGGATGACATGACGGAGGAAGAGCAAAGGCTCTGAGTCCCCCTCCACCGCCCTGCAGGTCCCACAGTAGGGCGGCACCCTGCTCTCCACAGAGCTGCTGGGAGACAAGACCGTCAGCTATTTCTCCTTATGGAGATACCCTCTTGGGTAGCACAGAAGTCCTTGATTGAAAAGCTCTAGTATTTACAGCCACACTGTCAAATTAATGACAGAGTCAGAAGAAAAGGATGGCAAGAATATTTCTCTTTCCAGAAGGTTAGAATGTGACTTAATAAATACACCCATCACGGGAACCTTGAGATGCTCTGGCTGGTACTTGTAAAAGCTATGTTTAGCTCAACAGAAAAAGTACAACCTTCACCAGGAGACGTCAAGCTTGCGGACGGCTCTGCGGAGTGGGAGGAAATGGGAGTGTGCTTTTCCCATGAGCAGAGAGGCTCTGCAGGGCAGTTTGCTGAAGCCAGCAGGAGGCGAGGGAGACTTCACCCACAGGGAAGGCGGCCTGCACTCTGCACAGGGGGACGCACACCGTGGGCTGGTCCTCGGAAATCATGCGTCTGTTCTTCTCATCTGAACCCAGCCTCATAAATATAAGGGATTTTTCTTGCACAAGGGAAAGCGGTTTTTGCAAAAGTTGCTTTTCTGCCCCATTTCCTTCTCCTTGCCATCAGTGGGCAGGACTCCCAGAACGAACCTTTGCAGTCAACACAATTGGAGCTGTTTTTAAAGTGAGATTGGTAGTCCTCTCCCCAGCTTGGGTGGGATCAGATTTAACCAGAAGTAGTCACCATGAGCACATGAAAGGGCCACTTCATTTCATAGTGACATATCTAGATTCAAACGAAAATCATTCGATTTCTGTAAAGGAATGACAGACTCACCCAGAGTCCATGTGGGAGGAGAAAGAAGTCACATCCGATCCAACTTCATCACTCTGCAGTGAGAAACCGAACCCACCCTCGAGGCCTCTGCCAGCCTAGCAGGCCCTGGAGGGAGTCCCGGGCTCCACAGCCACTGAGACCTGGAAGCAGAATGTGAAGCAGGTGTGTGTGTGAGGGTGGTGGGGGGTCTGGGTGTTGCCTGCTGGGTCTTCAGCTTTTCATCCTTACTTATTGGTCAAATCCTGCTGAGCGTATCTTAGTAGCCTGCTCAGTGCATTTGGAAGAGTGAGATGGCTGCAAAAGTGCTGGCATGAACACAGTACCCACCATATGCCGGGCACCCGCCTGGGTTCCAGACACCGTGTGCGAAAGAAACTGAGTCACTGTTCACAGGAGGTGCAGAAGGTACTAGCTGAAAAATGCCCTAGTGGCCAGCATTTTCTGCATAAGATTCTTTTAAAAAAGGTTTTTAGTTGTCGACAGACACAATCCCTTTATTTTATTCATTTATTTATTGGCAGCGCTTAGGATCAACGTGCTTGGCAAGTGCTCTACCACTGAGCCACAAGCCCAGCCCCTGCATAAGATTCTTGAGAACTGTCTTCCAATATGAAGTTCAAGTTCAAACATTATCGGGAATCCCTTCATGGCTCTCAATCTCACCATTCAAGACAATGACTCTGTTTGGGATTATTTTGGTTCAAACTCTCCT